GTCCTGTCACTACACGTCCTTGTCAAAAGTCTCTCTCCAGCTTTCCTGTAGGCCTCCTTTAGGTACTGGAAAGCTGCTATAAGATCACCCTGGAGCCTTCTCTTCTCCAGGCTAAACAGCCCCAACTCCCTCAGCCTGTCTTCATAGCAGAGCTGCTCCCGCCCTCTGATCATCTTCGTGGCGCTCCTCTGGACACGTTCCAGTAGCTCCATGAATCATAGAATCATAGAATGGTTTGGGTTGGAAGAGACCTTAAAGATCACCTAGTTACAACCCCCCTGCCATGGGCAGGGAAACCCTCCACTACATCAGGTTGCTCAAAGCCTCATCCAACCTGGCCTTGAACACTTCCAGGGATGGGGCATCCACAACTCCTCTGGGCAACCTGTGCCAGTGCCTCACCACCCTCACAGTAAAGAATTTCTTTCTAAGATCTAAACTAAATCTACCCTCTTTCAGTTTAAAAACAATTCCCCTTGTCCTATCACTACGTGCCCTCGTGAATCTCCAGCTTTCCTATAGGCCCCCTTGAAGTACTGGAAGGCTGCGATAAGATCACCCTGGAGCCTTCTCTTCTCCAGGCTGAACAGCCCCAACTCTCTCAGCCTGTCTTCATAGGAGAGCTGCTCCAGCCCTTGGATCATCTTTGTTGCCCTCCTCTGGACCCGCTCCAGCAGCTCCATGTCCTTCTTGTGTTGGGGACTCCAAAGCTGAATGCAGAACTGCAGGTGGGTCTCAGAGAGCAGAGTAGAGGGGCAGAATCCCCTCCCTCGACCTGTGTCACTCATTTCAGGACACACCCTAGACACAGGCCTGTAGGGTGCTAGGTCCTTTTTATCCACAGGGGTCAGGTACCACTCCTTGCCTACCAGGAGACCAAGCTCCCTTACTAGGCTATTCTATGTGCCTGGCTAAGGGGAATTCTCTGTTCTGTTTGTTGAAGCAGATCTACCACACATCAAAGAATGTAAGGCTTACAAGTCCAAGGAGGGGAAAAATGAAAGGGGAGAGTCATGCATCTGTGGCCAGTGGCATTTCCCTCAGCAGGGAGCACTTTTGGTCCAATCATTCACAAATTGTCATATCAGCATTTTTCATTGCTTTATTTGTTAAATTATCTAGTGAGAAACTTTTTCATATGGGTAATAAAGAATTCTGCTGGTCTTTCCTCAGCTAGATATTACAAAGACAACTGGAGGCAAACATAGTTACAATACTTAGCAGAGAAATGAATTAGCAATGAAAGAAATGGAAGAAGAGATTTGCTTGACTTTGGTCAGCCTAGAAGATTGCTGTCTGGTCTAAATACATTTCCTCAGTTCACCTTGTAGTCAGTGGGTAAAGATAAATATTTCCCAAAGAGTTCTTGATCCACTCTTAAAATCTGTTTAAAGATGAATTCTTCTGTTTCTCTCCATTTATATTTAGAACAATTTGTTGGTAAAAATATCCAGGCTGTAACTGGAGAAATACGATCGGATGAAAATATCAGGTACAGCAACTTATTCTTTATGGAATTTATGAAATTAATATCTCTACTTGAAAGTAAAGCAATGCAATTAATTTTTTTTAAAATGGAATAAATGTCTATAATGCATTTTAAAATGGTAGAAATATCTCTACTACCTTATACACTGTCCTCACAAAAAATTAACATCCTGTGGATGATATAGTGAAGAATTCTGTGTAAAAAATTCTAACAAAAATGTCTTGCAACCATGTATTTTTCTTTCTGTTTTGGAAATGGGAGTTCCAGGGACAGACGTGTAAGATGTGAGTATCTGCATGTAAAGTGGAACTTGGATACCAGGAACTGAAATGTATGCACAATTAAAACCTCATGGTTCTGCGAATAATAGAAGAGATTAAGATAATCAGGAAATACTAGAAGTCATCGAAAAAGCACTCGAAAGGGGTTGTTAGAACTGCTGTCAGTAACCGGACGTGGATGAAGGACAGATGCTTAAACCAAAAGGTCAAGAAAAAACAGCACCTGACACTCATATCTCCAAATCTGTTTGCTGGCTCCATCTGAATATTTGTATCAGAAGTCTCTGCAAATCAAAATAAATATTTAACTTGTAAATCCATGCTCCTACACTAGGTTGACATTCCCTTTTCCCTTTTTTTTTTTTTTGTTTTTTGTTTTTTGTTTTCCCCTAAAAGAACAAAGAGTTCTTATCATCAATAATTCTGGAAAGGAATCAAGCTCCATCCAGAGTTTTTCAAGTTACCAGAAACTCTTTGTAAAGTCAACAGAGACTATTTAGGAATTACAGAGGGAATGTTTGATTATCTGAGAGCAATTCAGGGAGTTCTCAGAGCTAACAATTTTCCCATTTCCTAAACAGAAAAAAGGTATTTGTGAGAAAATGTTGTATAAGAGCATCATGCTTTGTTTAGAGCACTGAAGGCTACTGGAATGTAGATAAACAACAATTAATAGTGGGAACAAGCACTGTAAAATGCCATCTGTTTGCCTAAAGGGGAAAAAAAGACTTTTTCCTTAAGGAAGGAGTCACTGGTACTTGTTACTCGTACATAACTAGATTCTTGTTGAATAATTGTTAACAGGAAGAGTTTACAGTATAAGGACAGTATGTGGCTCAGGTGAAGAGGGAAACTAACGCTATGAGCAACTACTCAAACATGCCTGCTGTAGTCCTTCTATTACAAAATCAAATTTAATTGGCAGTTCCTGTATCCACTGCAGGAATTTGGCACAAGCAAGTGAATTCACCCCAGAAACATAACTTCTCTTTTGCTGAGATAGAAGAGCCTTAAGTCCGACAGCTTTTTCTGCCCTGCTTTCTGCAAATGTGACCCCAGCCTTGTTGTGAGCTGTATTAACGGCTTCTAGAGAAGGATTAAGTCAGCAGCTTGTTCTAGTTGCATTCTTCCCTCTGAGGAGCCTGTGTTTTTCTTATGTGGAAGAAAGCTGGCAAAAGTGATGTATAAATCTTGACCTACAAATTTCTGAGTGAGGTAGTTGTTACAGCTGATCAAGAATCAGTGATTTAATGAAGTTAACCACTGCATAATAAATATCTCAGTACACACATTATGCTTCTAGCCATTAGTAACCACCTAAGCACTGATGTGAATGGACTCAACTTTCACTTTCCGAAGGAACAACTAGTATCTCAATACCTGTAGTCGTTTCTACTTAAATATACTGAAGAAACCTTTAGGTAAAGCTTGACAATATTAAAATTTCTTAACCCTCAGCCTGTTTTCAAGAGAGTATTCCATCACTATAAAGATGCAGTAAATTGATCTGGCAAACCCTTGCATTTTAACAGTATTAAGTCAAAATGCTAAACGGAATTATCCTCTTCTACCTGAAAAGGGGTATCTATAACAGATAAATATTATAGTCAGCATGAAAAAAAAAAACCACAATTTTCATTGCTCACAAGAAAATACCATGAAAAGATTACAGCATTCCCAGGAAAATTTCAGCTTACCAGATGCACTGCTGCTCACCTTTTCTCGTCATCTTCATCATCACTATCACAATTTAATGGCTGAAAAGCTATTTCTGACTCTGTGTCTACTTGATTAGCATCTGGCTCTTGCTCAGCAAAGCTTCGCAATGCCACAAGGCGGTGATATATTGCTGCATACAGGTGCCCAGTGTCTTTCGAGCTTGCCTGCAGAACATAAAACGCATACAGTCCAAGCTAATCAAGAAAAATCTCAGTTTTTCACGGAGAAGCTGACTGAGAAATTTTCAAAAGTAAAGATCTATATTTTGTCCTTTTTCATTTCAGAAAATAAATACAAATAATGTCAAGTTCCTTTAAGTAGTCTGAGTTTTGTAGCCGTTGATTATTTTCTCTGTCGTTACAAGAAACATAAGCTTAAACATTATTATTTCCCCTGAAGAATGGCTCAGTTTATACTGAATACTTGATATTCCAGACAATTCCTGAACACGATTCTAGAAGTAAGAAAGCACTGAAATTTTAATATATGTATTGCATTTCAGTTTGCAGAATAAATAAGAATTTTAAAACCTAACTACAAAAAATTATTTGTGATTCTAGTATTTAAAGATACCATGAGTTCTGCTCCTATTGTTGAACAGAAAATGAGCATCATCCAGAGGGTACTAAGAAATGGAGAAGACAGCATTTTGTCGGTACATAAAACCTTCAAGCAGCTATATCCTGAGTACTGTGTTTCATTCTGGTCATCACATCTCAAGGATATAGTACAATTGCAGAATGTAAAGAGAAGGGAACCAAAAATGGTCAAGGATGTGGTGCAGCTCCTCATGTAGAGTTGAGACTTTTCAGTCTAAAGAGATGGATGACGATGTGGTATAACTCAGGATTTCAAAATTATAAAAGCAGTGGATAAACTGAATGTGGTGCAGCTGTTTGTCAGACCACACAATAAATGCCCTAGGGTACACTCAGTGAAAGCAGTAGAGTATCAGGGTAAAATAAAGTGCTTCTTCACAGAGTCATAAGAACTTCTTGAATTTGCTGCCTCAGGAGAGAGTGGGGACAGACAGCATAAACTAAAAACAATAGGCCAAAAATATAGTATTGAAAGTTTAAAACAAAAGGAATTAGAAAAATCCAGGGACAATCATTTCACAAATAGATAGCACAAGAAGCACGTAGGGGTGAATGCTGTCAAATCCCTAATACAGCACCTAGAGACGCTGGGGGCTGATGAGGTGAACAGACCTACAAAGTGGCCATGCTTGCCTGTGCTTCCTAAAAGCACTACATTTGGGCACTGTTAGAAGTGCCAGTAGAGTACTTCTTACTTTCTTCTAAAGCAGATCCTCTACTAGAGAGTAACTGAATGCATATGGTCTTCTGTAGCCCAGTTCTAGACTTCCGTGTATCATGTGGAGTCATTTCTATCTGTATCACTTGACAACAGGAAGAAATATGCCTTATTTGAATTGGAATGACGCATTTCAGTATGTACAGGTGGAAGAGCTAGGCAAATTGGGAAGCAGCAGCAGATAATGGTTGCCTTCTGTGCTACACAGACTCACGGCAGCAAACAATTCTCTCCCTACAGCCAGGCAAAGCAGCAAGCAATTCACAGTTGTTCAGGTGTCTCAACTGCAAATGCAATTCTCAATGGACAAATCTGAGCTCTGAACATAACATGGCTTTTCAGGAAACGCAGTGTCATAAATATGGAAGAGGGAGGTATTCAGTCTGATAATTTCTATCTGTAGCTTTCGACTTATCCATTCAAAAGCCAGAATTCCTCTGTCCCTTTAATCTAATATGAACTCTGGCTTCTGCCAAGAAGGGTGGACTCACCTCCGTACATCCTCTGACTCTTCATTTCTACCCTCTCCATTGTGCCAGTACCACCACCAGGGTGATCACAGGGTGAATAAAATCAAGCTAAAAAATAACTTGGGAAAGCAAAAAAAAACCCCACCCAGATCAGTTCTCTGAACTGCCTCACTCAGAGCTGTGCAAATTCCAATGCCACCAAAAGCAGGAAGAAACAAGCATGAGGGGAGGGGGCAGGGTCAGCCCTCTGTGCATACCTGAGTGAGTACTACAGGACTAACCTAATGGAATCTTGTGGGCTGCCTCCTTTGTAGTCAGCATCATAGGACTGTTCTCCCTCGAGAAGCCCTTTGGATAATATCCCTGAACCAAATGCATCAATCACTCATGTGACATGAGAAAAACAAATTTAAAAGGCAGTTAAAAGTATCTGCTGGTGCCTTGGAGGAGTGGGCCCCACTGACTACTAGACCAGCCTGATTTACGTTCCAAGGCTTTGGTGATGCCTGCTGGGTGTCTCACACATTGACCAGTTTGCCTTCCACACTCAATAGTCGCGGTGTTAGTTTGGCTGGATACCAGCTATAGGGATGGATACCAGCTGCTTCAGTGATGACTGCAGAAGCAGCTTCCTGCAGCCCTTGCCACACAAATACAGCTGTCATATGTCTCAGTTTCCTAATAGGTATCTTTTTTACTGTCCAGAAGTACCAGGACAGAATTTAAGGAATGCTTTCATCTATATACACTAGAAAAACTGTGCATCGCAAATGGAAATCTAGGACATTTCTAATTCTCACATGCAGACCAGCTGTGCAGCACAGCTGTAGTTAAGTCAATCACTGTTTGGAAGTGATAGACTTCAGTGCTTGCAGATACAGTGCGTGGTGCTCTGCTTGTGTATGGCATGTGATGCCTCCTGGAAGTGGTGACTTATTTTTCTTGCCCAGGAGGCTGAACCCTCCCCAGAAGCGTCTACTGGGGAAATCGGAGACGTCCTTAAACTCACATAGATGCTCACTTCCCAACCTAGGACATATGTGCTATTTATTTGCAAATAAGTCCACTACATTTCCATCCTCAACTTACCAGCCCCTGCTGGAGAACACCAGGATTCCCAAGACTACAGCATTACATAAGGTGACACTGCAAAACCTGTGTTCCTCCTCACCTGAGAAACAGAGGTCCTTCACTGCATGGATTATTGCAAGCATTGTGTCAACCACGGCATGAAGCTGCTGCCTTGTATCGAAGTAACTTGCAAATAAGTAACTACCTGTGTAGAAATTCTAACAGTGTTGCTGTTAGAATTAAGAAAGAGTAATTGCTGCATGTGACTAGAATTATATCCATTCCATTGGTGGCACGTGAAACAGAGTGTGGAAATGTTTGTCCTAAGGCTATATCCCATCCTCACACCTTTTTTTTCTAAATACCAAGGGACAGCGCTTCTAACTCATTTCATAATAGCCATGTAACAGGTAAGCTAAGCAGAGCCTGACGGAGCATCAGAGGCCGTTTGCTAAAACCAAAGCCTCAGCAAGTCGTCAGAATCTTAGATGAAATGAGGATTTGGGTGGGGTTTTTATCTCTTGCTTACCTGAATTAGAAATACTTGAACAGAGTGGTCCTCTTGGTCTGTTGCAGTGAAGCACAGGCTCTTTCTGTTTGCTCTTTTTATGACCATTCGATCCCAGAGTCGGGTGTTGAGAATCAGTCTCAAGCTGCCTTGATTTCGCATGACTAGAATAAGGTTTATATATAAAGTTATTGGAAATGTCTTCATTTTTGCTGCAGCAGTTTCCTCTAGCACTTCTATGCAACTAATATTTTCATGAATTATTCTTTTTAATTTGTTCTAAAACCTGATATGGTGAGATATTTTTTTAAATTATTTTTTAACATACCAAAATATATTTGTTTCTTTCAATACGTCTGGCACAAAAGCAAATAATCTGCAGAAACTGCGAAATACAGTACAAAAAAATGACAGCACAGTAAAACCAACATTCCAGAAGTGACTTGAAACAGTGCTCCTGGACAAGCAGAATCAACAAAGAGCAAACTGTCAGACTGGTGACTGAGCTAAAGATACATTGCAGAAGAAATACACAGAACCTGACAACCTATGCAAGCATGAGTGTACAAACAGTGAAGAACGCCCACTGCCTCGGTCCAAAACACAGCTGACTTTACCAGGCAATGTTAAAAAGATTCTCGGCAGCTTGGCTGAAATATGGCTGGCTACTCACTTTTAATGTTCTGAAATAAACTTATTCTAGCCAGTAATAGTACAAGTTATTTTGTGTTTTGTGTATATGTTACTTTGTTATTTAATTCTTACTTAGCCTTGACTGCAACATTCCACGTTTATTGCTAGAAATGTCATTAAGCCTCAGGGATCCTCTGCCTCTTTCAATCCAGGTTAAAGAAAGCTTATGAAATACAAAGAGCTTGCAGTTGATCTGAAAGAGAAATACATGATGGAAATTGCCAGCCAATGTTAATTTTACTGGTTCTAAAACTTTATGTTTTTAAACCTTTTGATACAGCTTTAATACACCCATATGCATGTATACAAAGACAGATATATAGATACATCACTATTATTACTTCGAATGAAATGGCTCCCAGATCTGTGCTAAACTTTCTCCTAGTCATGTAATGCATCTCACTTTACTTTTTCAATTACTTCATCTTCATTAACTCTTCATTGGTGATATCCACTAACACGGCTGAATTTGTTGCAAGTGCTCTACAGTCTTATTCCCTCACTCATTAGAAACATTATGCAGCCCAGGATACCAGTACCACTACTAGAAGAGTACTACTCCAAAGTAAACTTTGGAGTAAAACTTCGATGTTCTGACAAGACAGAAGATTTAATCGATATAATGGTGTGACTTTCGATGTTAAGATTTTTTGAATTATATACAACGTCGCTATTTTCTGAGAAAATAACATTTTGAAGATGAAGCATAGCAAGATATGTCCTGCCTGGTCAGAAAGATAATTTATATTTTAGATGAACTATAAAACTAATTACTTTGACAAAACATTGTTTTTTTCAAAAAAAAAAGTTTTGTCATAAAAAAATCTTTATTCAAATCACTTCCAATTTTGAAGTTTTAGTTACTGCTGGTTCACTGTGTAGATACTTATAAAACATAACTGTAGAATGAAGTTCTGAAGCGGTCACTTACTGAAAGGCACTATAAAATGAAAATATAATGAGAAAAAGAAAATATCAGCCTACAGAAAAATGGGTTAGCAGAGGCAAATCTTTAAAAAGTGAAAATCTGAAATATAAACTAAAGTTATTTTCAGATTGCTGCAATCTGTAATAGATCTAGATGTTCTTTTCAACAAAAAAAAACCTGCTCACCATCAAGGCTTTATGAAATACACACCTGTAATACGTTGTGTTCTGCTTCTTCTCCAGTTATAACTTCAACTTTATCTAACAGAATTTTCTCCACTGGCTTGGAAATACAAGCAGCTGCTGATTCAATTAGTGATGCATTCCTCAACAAAGCTGTTTCAAGAGGGAAAAAAAAAAAAAAAAAGAAACCCCTTTCTGTACAGGGAATATTTTCAGGACAACAAAACATAGGATGGCCTGTGACTTCAGTAATCCCTGTGATGTCTGATATTATTTAGTGTTATTAACAAGTTTTTGGCCAAAGCAGTAAATAGAGGAGAAAAAAAAAAAAAGGCCAGAATACTGCAAAATGTCTCACCTGTCTAGGTTCATTTTGAATTGAACAGGGCTCTCTGCCATTGCAGTGGTTTGCCCCAAGGGACAATTTGCAGAAACAAACACTAAATAATTAGAATTTGATTTTCCAAATGAAACTGGTCTGTCAGATTAATAAACAATGAAAGACATCTGTCCCAATACTCCGAATAGTAATACATATACAATGAATATTTGACAAGAAAACAAAAGGACAATATTTGAAAGGAATAAAATAGTTATAAAATTTTGTATATTTGCATAATCTATACACGTTTTCCATAGGCTTTAATTATTTTTTTTTCACTTGTAAGAATGTTTATGCAAAGTAAGAGGATCCAATACATCCATTAGTAAAGAGGGGTTCAAAATTTGGCAAGAAGGCTCAAGACAGGGGCCTATTTGAGATTCCCTCACAGCCTAGGTTTACGTGGCTTGCCTAGTAGAAAAGCTCACACTAGAGTCACAAGCAACCCCTGAAATCTCTCTGTACAGAATTTTCAGTCCTACAATTAGGATACAAATATGGCAAAGTAATTTATATGAGCAGTCACAAAACACAAGCAGCAGACAGTTTAAAATTTTAGCTCAAAAACGCGGTGCAAAAAGCATTCACAAAGTTCACTGCATTTTTTTTTAAATGATAATCTGCAATAAATAATAATAATCTGTAAAACCCTCCTCTCATTTCCTGAGTAACTTAGATCATTCATTCTGAAGATAGTGCAGTTCAAATGTCATAAACCAAACTGTAGCTGCCTTCTGAACACAGATTTTGACACATTTTGCAAGCGAACTAGTAACTGGATAACTTGAGAATAGGTTAAAATTATTGGCCACCACTCATTTGACATCCTCTAAAATACAGTGAAACATAATAATAAAGCTAACCGCAATTGTCTGCTAAGTATGCTTACTTGTGTGAGGACTGACATGAAAAGATTCTCTGTACATGGATGTTATTTCTCCTTTGTATGAATCAGCTTCATTACATGACTTGGGATGCTTTTCAGGACTCTAGAAAGAAAAAAAAAAAAAACAGACAAAATAAGAATTCTTATTTAAATAAAATGGATATGTTCATCTCAAACAGAACACTGAATTGTTTAATGCTTGCTAAGCTAAAGTTTAGCAACTGTAATATCTTCAGAGTAAAAACTGATCCAGATGATACAATTTCAGTCTCTAGTAGGGGAAATTTTATTACCATAAAATCAGTACATCATTCTTCCACCAAGAAGAATGGCCTCTTTGTACGGATCCTGGACTAAGATTTAAATCCATTGAAGGACTTAGATGTTTAAGTACCAGCTAATTTCCAGTTTAAGCACTTAAACCCCATAAGAATAGTTTAAAACTCCCAGACACCACAAACAACCTGAAAGGAATTAAAAATTTCCAAAAACTTCAGTTTTTGCAGATAAAGTTTCTTAGGCATGTCTAAATAAATCCTTCTGGCTCCTGACAATGCTCAGTGGCCACACTCCTACTTTATAACTAAACCTTGGTCAGAAGTCATAACCCAGACCTGTGGTTGCCAAACTTTTTCACTGGCAGATATGCATACTGTTTTCATTCTACTTCTACTAGAAACTGAATTTCAAGTTCATTTAAACGGTGCAGACCTCAGCTTGGGAACTACCTTTTTGTTTGAGTTTCCTTCAGAACTCTATCCATTAAGCTATCTCACAGCATGTACAATACAGTTTAACATGGATGCTAGCTAGGATGCGTGTTCCATTTTCCCCTCAGATTAATTTCTCCCATCTCTTAACAGTTGTGATATAAACTATTAGAGCAGTGGGGGCCATATTCTTTTATGTTGCATTGCAGCTGTCCCACTTTATAAGGAATATAAAACAAACCCTTTTTCGGTAAAAAAAATGAGCAAAAGAGAATAAGGGCATACTGGTATGGCTTAGTAATTAGAGTATTTATCTAGGATGGGCAAGATAGGAATGGCTACCCCTTCTACAGCAAACATTTACATATTTTTTTCCTCAATGGTCATTGGAGTCATATTTACTCACATCTTTAAAAGACCGGGAGCAGCTAAAAAGAATCAATCTCTGAAAAAAAATTACACTCCTCAGTACATTAACCTTGATAAAAAGTCTGCCAGCATTTACATATCTTACCAAAACTCTCTCAACCATGTTTTCTCCAAACACAAAATCAGAATTGCTGCTGTTCTGTACACTTCTGTCTTCAAACAACTGTCTTCTACAGGAACAAAATAACATAATAATGTGATTTAGAACTATTTATAACTTTATAAAGAATATAAATAACTTCATGCATGCATTTTACCACACCTAACATTAAAGACAAACAAAAAATGACCACTTAAGTGATCAGACAAATTCTTTAAAAAAATCTGAGAATATTCTCTACATAACATTTCACAAATGTTATGTAGAGAATATTCTACATAGTGGGGAAGTTCCGCTGGACTGGAGGCTGGCGGATGTTACCCCCATTTACACAAAAGGGCGGAAGGAGGATCCGGGAACTACAGGCCTGTCAGTCTGACCTCGGTGATGGGCAAAGTCATGGAACAGGTTATCTTGAGTGCTATTAATGAGCACATACAGGTTAACCGGGTGATCAGGCCCAGTCAACATGGGTTTGTGAAAGGCAGGTCTTGTCAATCAAACCTGATCACCTTCTGTGATGGGGTGACCTGCCTGGTTGACGAGGGAAGGGCTGTGGATGCAGTTTTCCTTGACCTCAGTAAAGCCTTTGATACAGTTTCTCATAGTGTTCTGGTTGAGAAACTGATAACTGCTGGCCTGGATAGGCACACCCTCCTTTGGGTTAAAAACTGGCTGGATGGCCGGGCCCAAAGAGTGGTGGTAAATGGGGCTAAATCCAGCTGGAGGCCGGTCACCAGTGGGGTTCCCCAGGGCTCAGTGCTGGGTCCAGTTCTGTTTAACATCTTTATCAATGACCTGGATGAGGGAATTGAATGTACCCTCAGAAAGTTTGCGGACGACACCAAGCTGGGAGGCT